TATCAGTGAATTACATGTGCACCTTTTATAACCAAATGGAAATATATTGACAGACCAGTGGTACATAGCTCTAGTCTAGGGATTAGTGTTAAATAATGCAAACTCATTCTGAAGTAAGAACTATGAATTAGAAACTTTAGGAACAGTCCCCACAACTAAACCAAGCAATCTTCTTCATTGTGTATGAATGCTGTAAAGAAAACAAACAGTTGCAGGTGGGTACAGCCCACAGGTGGGCCCACAATAGTCAGCAATATTTTTTGTCACTGGAGGTTGGGTGGGATAGAATAATAAAATCACAGAAGCATACATTTGGAAGGGACCTAGTCCAACCTCCTGCAATGCAGGAATCTTTTTTGGCCAACATAGGGCTTAAACCCACAGCCCTGAGATTAAGAGTCTCATGCTCTACTGACTGAGCTGAGCAGCCCGCCCCCCCCATTATGAAAATGACAACAGTCCACTGTGGACTATGGTCATGTTCAACCCAATTCACAAGAAAGTGACTGTATACATGGGTACAATCACATAGAGAACTTGTGTATAAGCAATCTGAAGTTATAGTCCTATAGCGCAAGCATATCAACATAAAAAAAATAATCTTATGAGATGTGTACATAGTAGAACATCAGGTCTGTGTACAGACATACCTGACTGACCACCTTTTCCCAACACCTGATGAGTTTTGGAGTTAACATCTTCTAGAATGGCTCCATGGGAGCCAAGGCCCCTTCAGCTCCCCCAATAAAATATTGGAGGGGTCCACACCCCTTAAAGTTGATGGGCATTGCCATTCAGATGGTGTGTGTGCCCCACGACATGTGATCTATTATGTGGGGTGGGACTTACCTGCCCCCCAATATTTCGTTCAAGTTGGCACCCCAGGGTGGCTTCTAGATTTGGAAGTGCATACGCAAAACACATCCACATGGCTGGGTGTTGACGGAGCCCACAGGAGGCGAAGGAGAAAGCAACCCACTTGGCGCACTGCAGGCTTACAGAACGGCGCCCCTGTTCTGGAAACCCCACCCAAACACCTCCCCGGCCATTATTTACCTTCGTCCCAGCTGCCAGCCCTCCTGCCAGAGGGAGCCAGAAAGCCAGCAAAGTGAGGCGGCTGTTCTCCAGAAAGTCCTCCAGGAGCTTCTGCTTGTCTTCCTCCGCCAGGAACTGGCTCCATTTGTCGTCTTTCAGCCTCAGCAAGTGCGCCACACGGCGCCCCACGAACTGGGCCCTCGCGTCCTCTGCGAAACTTTTCTCCTGCGCCGTCTCGTCCTCGTCTTCCTCCATCTCCAGCCCGGCGTCCACAGAGGAGGAGACGGCGGCGCTGCAGCAACTGGGGCACTTCGCGGGCAATGCGCGCCTCACGGCTGCGCGCCTTCCCCAACTTCTCGACGCGAAGCTGGATGCCTTTCCTCGCCTTCCCCGCGCAGTTCTGGAGCGCCCGCTAATTAGCGCGCGGGCAGCTCACCTGCTGCTGCTGCCGCTGTTCCTCGCGCTCCTTGCCGGCCCCGGAGTTGCTCCCCACGCCCCCGCCAGCGTCCGGTTCAACTCGCTGCTCTGTCTGCTCCAATCAGCGGCGGCGTCCCGTTGCCCTGGGGACGAGCGAAAAAAGTCACGGCCGGGCCACCCGCAAGCCGCTCCTCAAGGGAAACAAATCACGGCCCTGGCCAATTAGGGCCACGGCTTGCCAGGAAGGAACCATCAGCCGCTGCGACGCCGGGGGTGGGAAGGGTGGAAGCGGGGGGCACAACGGAGAAGCTAAGGGCTGACGAAGGTTTTTAAATGCGTCACGCGGATGTTTAGCGACACACCTCCAGGGGGTCTCTGCCCCCGCGCGCGGAAGAGCGGCAGGTCCTCCCCACGAGCAAATGGACTGGCTCGCTCCAAGGCAGCAAAACTAGCCGCTCGATAAAATGCATGGATTTTTATAGAGTTTCCAAACGGTGTTTTCATTTGGGCAAGGGCGGGTGCTGCTATCGAAGTGCTTCTGGGCAGGTGTTCGCAGAAGCCCAACTTGCAGCCAATGGCTTCAGTTTCTCATAGTTTTGAAATGGCGAAGTAGGCAAGCTGCAGATTCACGAAGAATATTAGGGAAGTGCGCCAAAAACTGGCCAGTGGTTGGTTTGTTCCCTTCCCTGTTACCGTTTTTTAGACCACTAGTGACTAGGAAGAATATTAAACCAGAACTTTTGTTTACAAGAGCTGAAGAAAAATGTGCGAGCCTCTTGGGCTTGCTGATCAGAAGGTCACGGTTCAAATCGGCTTGACTGGGTGAGCTCCCGTTGCTCTATCCCAGCTCCTGCCAACCTAGCAATTCAAAAGCACACCAGTGCAAGTATATAAATAGGTACCGCTGTGGCGGGAAGGTAAATGGCGTTTCCGTGCGCTCTGGCTCCCATCATGGTGTCCCGTTGCGTCAGAAGCGGTTTAGTCATGCTGGTCATGCTGACCCAGAAAGCTGCCTGTGGACAAATGCTGGCTCCCCATCCTGAAAGTGAGATGAGTGCCACAACCCCATAGTCACCTTTGATTGGACTTAATTATCCAGGGGTCCTTTATCTTTTTACCTTTATAATATCAGTAATATTATTACAAAAATCTTCAGGAGCTAGATGTGCTGTGATTCTTGTGTGACATTATGCCATGGACTGGTTGGGCGCAGAGGACTAGTGGGAGGTACCAGCTGGGGAACCACCAAGGGAAGAAGGCTCAGAGCCTAGGGAGTGGTGTTGGGGACCATGACCAGTGGTCACAGGAAGAAGACTGGAAGCAGGTGTCAGATCAGACATAGGCAAACTTGGCCCTCCAGATGTTTTGAGACTACAATTCCCACCATCCCTGACCACTGGCCCTGTTAGATAGGGATGATGGGAGTTGTAGTCCCAAAACATCTGGAGGGCCAAGTTTGTCTATGCCTATGTCAGATGCTGAGGAGGTAACAGGGCTAAGTGAGAAAAGAGAGTCTCTGGCAGAGAGAAGTCCGGAAGCAGAAGTGGGTAGCCAAGATGCAGAGATGAGTCAGCTAGTGAAGTCATGAGTGTCTCTTCCTTCTGCAACAAAATCTTCACCCCACTTGTCTCCCAGAACGGGAAGAGGCATGAAAAGGGCAGAGGAGAGATTGGCAGCATGTAGACATGGTCTTCAATTGCTTGGGGGGAACACCTGCAAATTAGTCGTAACTTCATCTCCCTCTAGGAAGGCTTGCCCATATTTGTCCACTAAGCAGATTGTCAGTGATAAACAGCTTCTGAAACTGAGTGAAGCTTCAAAAGCAGCTTGTGATGTGGAATAGGAGTGAAGTGGATTGTCTGCTGTTTAAAAACAGTCATTTAATTGAGTTATTAGAAGCAGCCTTCATAGATTTTTGAATCCCAGCATTTATTGTTGCTAGTTTTCTTTGGAAAAGAAAATGGGGGCTGTCTTAACAGCCTGGATCCTACATATGTTGCTGTTTTGATTCACCGGGTCAAAAGTGACCCAAAGTGACTTACATTAAAACACATTAGGACAAATACAACCAATAAAAGCCTGAAAATGCTTCTATAAAATTAAAGACGCATGTTAACAGATTTCACAATATTAAAGGAGGCCACAGGTTCCTGAAACCCTTTGAATTAAAAGCCAAAAGCATGCATAAACGGGACAGTATTTGCCTGGCACCTAAAAATAAAGGTGGCAGTGGGAATGTCTTCCTGGGGAGAGAAATCCACAGAGGCACCACTGAAAAGGCCTATTCTCATACGGCCACCCTCTTTGTTGCCTGTGGAGGGGTCACATGAAGAGCCTCAGCCACATATGGCTTAATAGGTCCAAACTGGCACTTTGAATTAAGCCTGGAAACTAATTGGTAGCCAGTGCAGTTGTGCCACATTCTGCACCAGCTGCAGTTTCTGAATTGTCTTAAAGGGCAGCACACTGCAGTAGTCCAACCTAGAGGTTATCAGGGCAAAGACAAGACAAGACAAGTTAGTTGCCTCTGTCCAGAAAGGGACACAGTTGGAACCACAGTCAAAGCTGCTGGAAGGCACTTGGTGCCACTGTGGCCACTTGAGCCTCAAGCCAACAGTACAGTGGTACCTCTGGTTACATACGCTTCAGGTTACAGACTCCGCTAACCCAGAAGTAGTGCTTCAGGTTAAGAACTTTGCTTCAGGATGAGAACAGAAATCGTGCTCCAGCGGCGTGGTGGCAGCAGGAGGCCCCATTAGCTAAAGTGGTGCTTCAGGTTAAGAACAGTTTCAGGTTAAGTACAGACCTCTGGAACGAATTAAGTGCTTAACCCGAGGTACCACTGTAACGGATCTAGAAGTACCCTAAAACTATGACATATCTGCTCCTTCAGAGGGAGTGCAATTCCATCCAGAGCAGGCCACATCACATCCACTCCCTAACAGTACCTCAGTCTTGTCTGGATTAAGCTTGTTTATTGGCTCTCATTCTGGCTCTTACTGAGGCAAGACATCAATCTACCACTTCCTCTGCCACAGCTGCAGATGGGAGATCCATTTGGGAGGCTCATTCTTTACAGATGCAAATACCCTTTTTGTCTAAGGCCCAGCCTAGACATAAAACATTTGTCACATTGCTGAGGTTCTAACCGAAGTGTGAGCAAACTTTGTTCTCCTGATGTTGCTAAACTACAACTCTCATCACCCCTGGTTATTGGCCAAGTAGGCTGGGGCTAATGGGAGTTGTAGTTCAGAAATATATGGGGGGCACAACTGCTCTCACCCTTTGATGGTGCTTGATTAGGAATGTGTCTTCCTGCTGCTGAACTACATATTACTTTTATAGCACAATCCTATGCATGTTTATTACGATATGTGTCCCCCTTTGTTCAATGCTGCTTACACACTATCTTATTACAATCTTGATGTTTTAAAGGTTGTTTATGTATACACCACCTTGAATACTGAGTCTATGATTGGAAATAGGACTCAAATATTTTAAATTAGTACACACAATACAAATATTATAAATAAATACAAGTTTTTTTAAAAATAAACATACATTCAAACTCAAGAGAATTTTAATAGGTTACTTGCAAAGTATTATTGCAGGCAACAACGTCTACACAATTTTAGTTTCAAATCCACAAAAACACACAAAATGTATACAAATTAGCATAGTAAAAATTAATGCCTTCGAGGCTTTGCTGGCAGAATTAATTTGCAGATTCTAGAATGGGTGTTTCTTGTCTTCCCCACCCCCTTCCCCCCTCTTTTTCTTACAAAAAAATTTACAAGTGAAATATTACTACAAAACTTTTTATAAGGTTTTCTGCAAAACATTTACAATTTTACCACCAACTATTTTTTTTTCTGTTTCAAAATCTTTATGTAGATTTAACACCCTATGCTGCACATCAATTTTTGCGGGATGACAATTTAGTGACATGCATAAAAAAATCACAAGGCATTAGAAATGGGAGACTTAAATACAAATATTGTTGCAATAAAACAGTTATAAAATTGAAAAATAGGACCCAAACATCATGCTTACCTAAGTTTAACAAATAAACCTTTTCTTCTAAATAACACACTTTTATTACTTCTCTCATGAAACAGTGTGATAAATAATGACTTAACACCAATTTCTAATGTAATCAGGAAACACATACACAACCCTATCCCAAGAAAGCATTTTGAAAAGAAAAGAAAAAACCTATTCCAACACTGGAGTTCTACCATGATAGTTACACTTTGCACTGATAAGTACGATAAAACAAAACCTTGTAATGGTGGCAAAGGGAATGAACAGTGAAGTGGCATTAAATAAGCTACTACTGCACATCTGTGCCCTATTACATACAAGTTACATCCCACTGAGTCAAATAAAGGACATTGAAATTTACGATCCTTCTAAGACTGAAAAGTGGACTCAGAATGGTATGCAGAACAGATTATTAAAACCTTTCCAATTCCAGGAATAGTAAGTGCACCTGCTAACACAGATTAATCTATATTAAGATTCTGTGATGCCAACCAGATTTTGATACACTTGTAATAGGGATTTGCTGCAGATTAAAAAATAATTTCCATTTCCTATCTGCATACATAAAATATGCAAAAAAGAATATTTACCAGCTGTGCAGAGCACTCATACCTTCTGTTTACAAAATAAAATACTAAGTTAAACATGATTCTTTAAGAACATTTTATTTGCTTTACTTCTATAGCACTGATTGTGAAGCCTAACGATAAAATATGTGTTTGATGCTGCAGCTGATCTGCAAAAATAATAATAATTAGCATTACTTAATGGTCATCTGTATTAAATGTATCATCAAATTGAGTCTGAGGTTTTAAAGCCAGATAAAATCAGCTGAAAATATTTTAAATAAAATATACAAAATAATATATAAAAACCCAACTAAAATGGAAATACTTGTTAAATGCCTACAAAAGGTTTAAGAAACTTTCACTTATAACCACAGTGTAGAAATGTGTAAAATTGTTTTCTTTACTATGTATGTAAGTGGAAAGTATAAAAGACTTTCAGCTTCTCTTTCACTACACTGGGCATCCCTAAGTGTACATAGTACAAAACGGTAGCTCTTTGTCTTTAAAAATGCATGCAATGCCACAAAACTGATAGTTTATATAAGGTTAAAAACATAAATCATAATTTTTAAAGGATACACATTAATTTCTTGCACTGTACTTGCAAGTTCCATCATCGAAATATTTTGGTGTAAAAACATAAAAGCCAGAAAGTCATGTGATCTTTACCAAACGGTGGATTTGCAAAATATAATATTTATGTCTATGGGAAATGTTTTAAATTCCAAAATATATTTGGCCATATTTCTGTTGTATACTCAAATTTGCACAGATGCCCCAATCTAGAAAAACAGAGCTACACACAAAAACAATAATTTGCATGTGTAGCCGATATGGATGCAGCTGTTTATCTGGAAGTGCATCCCTATCCCTGCATTGTGAGCCTCATCTGGAATATGCATCTTTGTCCAGGGCGACTAGTAGTCAGTGACTACAGCTGAATCTGTGACAAAAAACAAACTGGTGCTTTTTTAACTGTAATGGCTTAACAAAATGCATACTGAGGAAGTAATAGCTTACCTCTACCAATATACAGCAGTCATATTTTTAAAATATGTTTTCTTTCTGAAGAATTAAAATTATTGATCCAACAAAAATATTTAAATAATTTTATTTGCTAGCCTATCTACTGGGGGGGGGGGAAGGGGAATGTAAGATTTTGATGGGATAAAAAGAAAGAAAGAAAAAGAAACAACAACAAAACCAAACCAAAACAACACAACGCTTGCAACTACCTCTATGCTTCCAAAGGGACTTATGGCTTGAGCCTCTCAAATAGCAGCCCCCAATGCCATATAGCAAGCTGCTTTTGATACCAAGGGGATTTTCAAAAGGAATTTCTGATAAGGCACAAGGGCCTGTAGTTCAAATAACCTTACTGAGTGTGCCTTTGGACAAGCCAAAAGTAGCTTTTTGGATCCCGGACAGTAGTTTTTGAAATGAAAGAAACAGAACAGGTTAATTTAGATTCATATTTTTGGTTGAAAGTATTCATCCATTTCTTTGGCTGTTATGTCAAAGTCTAAAGAACTCAGTATGATAACCACAGTATTTGCTACTGACAAAAGGTTGACATTGGTGCATGAGGTCTACTACAATATCCTATATCCCACCATTTCCAAGTATTCTAATAAAATTTAAATATTTAAATTACACTTTTTATAAATGAAGTTAACCAAGGCTTAGCAATGGATCACCCATGTCTTGAAATGGGATGTGTTAAAAGTATAGGACTTATCACATAGGTTCCTATATTTAACTTTTACATAGAAATTAATTAAAATCTTATGTCAATATATTTCTAAGATTCAATATTTGCTACAGTATACACTGGCTCTATAGATCTCTTTATCTCTCCTAGAGAATAATTTGTGTTTACTGATTGTCATTATACACACTACTACAATGTAGTGGCCAAAATTATCTGAGGTGCACCTCAGAACCATGTAACATGCTGCCATCTGAATTATTTTTTAAAAATGACCAAAGATGGCCAGGTTTACTATATGTTTCACAAACCAAAAAGAAACAAAAAGTTTTCATCTTTACTAGATTATTATGCGTTTTTGTTGTGCCGTTTGAACAAAGAAAATTCCTGTGAAAATTCCAGAGACATTCATGTGAAAACAACCCTAACCAACAGACATCCTGTTGTATATTTGTACTGTTTGTTGTTACAACAAACATTTACATAGAATGTGAAAAGAGAAGGAAAATCCAATTAAAATCATTTTCGTGATATAGCTACATAAATTAGTACAGTGTGGAAGCAATCTTTTCTTCATCTGCTGTATCCATAATTTATCTATGACAATTGGCCCTGTATTTATTTTTGATTTTTTTTTTATCTTGTTATACAAAGTACACTTCCTGTGCTAGTCCTCCAACTTGGAATACTTACAGAAATCAAGACTGACTACATGATTTCCTGTTCTGTAATACACTTTTACCAGCCCACTTTCGTATCTTGAAAGGTATGTAAATTTAAGTGCAACTCTAGGCATTTGAATAAGGTTCCTTCAGAATTCTTCCATGTTTGTTGAAACAGTAGGGGTTGCTGGGTTTGAATCTTGAGAAATGGCTGCAACTGTGACAATCCTCGGAGATCCGAGCACCTCAGTAACTGAAGGGTCCAATTCACCTGAGGTAACAATAGCGAGGGCTGTCCCCCCACCTTTCTTGTTCTGGTGTGTTTTGACGTGCTTGGAGAGATGGTCACTTCGCATAAATCTTTTAGAACACTCTGGGCATTCAAATCTCTTCTCACCTATTGGGGGGAAAACAAAACAAGAGTTGTTCAGTAATTAATTTTTCTATTATTGGACAATTATCTAGCTACAATCAGCAGTATAGCTACAGTACGGTAATTTCAACTTGTTATGTTGTCTTAATTTTGTCTTTTTAAAAGTATTATTTTGAAGACCAGAAGCATGAATTTATGGGACCACACAGCGAAACAACTGGTGTACATGCATGTGTACCTACATGAATTTAGTTTAAAGTGCTAGTACTATCTGCAGCAATTGCTACTTTTATGAGCTTCCTGCAAGATTTAGGACGGTTTTCTTTCATCATGTGGAAATCAATTAAAAACCTTTACACGTGACTTTTCTCGCAGTAAAAATGTGTACTGATATATGCAAGTATTGTGTACAGATTCAAGAAACCCCTTTTTTACATGATGTTTCCATTGGTCTACAAAGACATGAATGTGAAAATATGCACTTCTTAAGAAAACTTCAAGAGACCATCAGAGTGCCTAACATGGTAGATATTGTCCATATCAATTACAGTGGACCCTCAGGTTACCTTACCTTCGGGTAAAGTAACTTTTGGGTTGCGAACGCAGCAAACCCGGAAGTGGGTTTGCCGTGTGCGTGCGCAGAAGTGCTCTGCAGCGCCGCATGCGTGCGCAGAAGCATTCCTCCAGTTACAGAATTTTCGGGATACAGCTGGGCCTCCGGATCCCTTTTGTAACTGGAGGTACCACTGTACCGTCAAATGAGCTTCCTGGATCCAGGGTATGGTCGACACATCCTTGCAGGAGGCAGTGGTCCCAGCTGTCTAAGGGAGTAGTAAACGGAAGATATTATCTCACCCATTATCTAACCAACTGATCACTGTGTTCTGTAGGAGAAAGTCTCCTGTAGGTGTAATCTCACTGGACATAAGCTGGTGGGAGAAAACTGTTAACAGCCTCCAGGCAACAGTGTCACTGTCACTTACCAGGGAGGATGAGACGGCAGTGAGGCTGGAGCCATGTGAATTCATCTGCAGAATCAATCTGCCTCTCCCAGCTGCCTCAATCTTGCTGCTGCCTTGCCCCTCCTGTTCGTCCTAGTAAGTGGCATTGAGGTTCAAAAAAGGGCAGCCAAAATGATCAAGGGGGTGAAGTGTTTCAGAGTTTGGGACTTTAGCAGCGTTTGAGACTTTTTAGTTTAGAGGACAGGTGTGTAAGAAGTGACAAGGTAGAAGTTTATTTAATTCCGTGCGGCACAGAAAAGTGGATAGAGAAAAGTTTTTCTACCTCTCTCATAACTTGTGGGATGATTCATGTTGCAAGATTCAGGACAGATAAGTTTTGGAAGATGAAGGAAAGATAAAAGAAAGCATTCTTACCTATGCAAGGTTCTGATTAGGAGAAACACTTTTAAGTTTAATAGTCATTTAAAAATGAGAACGCATATACCTGTAGCACAATGAGTATATTATAAAATATAAAATACACTTTAAAACATTTGTACAAACTATTCACTGACCTGTATGGGTTCGCCTATGTCTCTGCAGTTCATCACTCCTTGTAAATCTTTTCCCACAGAAGATCCAATTGCATACAAATGGCCTTTCTCCAGTATGCCAGCGAAGGTGTGCCCGGAGATGAGATGTTTTCCCATAAACCTTTCCACAACCTTCAATATGGCAGATATGTTGCTTCTTTTTTCCTGGTTCGTTACTGCTTCTACCAAGCACAAAACACTAATGGTTAACCAAAGTACAATTTTGTAAAACACATTAAGAAAAACAATTTGATCTAACTACTCCTGAAAAACCCCAACCCTATCAGATTGCAACAGCCCAGTCACAAACACCTGCTTTCGGGGGAAGGTGACTTGAGACGGTCATGGCAGGTCAGCTGCAAACATTATTGAATGAAACAAATTATCCTGGCCCGTTTCAACAGGAACAGTCGAGTAGACTGGCTAAGATGTATAAAGCAGAACCAGATTTGTGTTGGAAATGGAGGGAACTTTTTTCATATGTTGTGGGCATGTAAAAAGGTTAAAGATCATTGGGAAATGATTTTTAATGAGATGGGAAAAAATGTTTAAAACAACTGTCTACTCAGTGTTCAAAGCAGGAACAGAAATGCAAGAGCAAAAGGATCACCGTTGGCCCTGAGATGCTTGGCACTTTACAGCTATTATGGGAATTACCTTCCTTCTCCTTCTCTGCAGTTAGGGCATGAACAAGCAACTCTTCTTAACCTTTTGCCAGGTTGCACGTCTTGATCAGAAGCTTGCTGGGCTTCATGCAACTGCACCTGAATTATCTGATCGGGACTAACAGCACCAATAGCTGCATTTGTGATGCCTCCTACTGCTACAGTGACAGGAGTTGATGTAGCTTGCTGTACTTTTACGCCTCCATCCTGTCCTTGTTGTTGACCTGTAAAGTAAGAATACACGTGACTTCTTTAGTTAATCACAGTAAAATCACAACATGGTTTCAATATCATATGCATTCCAATATAAGATGGAGAAAAGTCACTTATTTATATGCATAATACTTTAGGACTGGAAGAAATGTCTCTCCCAAAAGGTAATAAACCCAGCACCTTTTTAATATAAAAGGAAACAGTTGGGCTTGCAAATTATGTTATACTAATTGCAAACGCTAAGAGAGAACTCATGATCACAAAATTGCTGAATTCCTTATCCAGGGTAGCACTTTGCCAGAATGGCTACAGCTAGTTACCAATTTGGGCAGTGAATCCATTGTTGGAAGTCACTACTGTAAAAGTTGGTACTAGTACAGTACAGCAGTGTTAGAAACTGAGATATGAAAGCTAGGAGTGAAATGGCACCTTAAACCTAGGTTATGGGCACAACGACGGAATGTCTAGGCAAGCTTTTTTATAACAAGAATACAAAGATGAAAATGAATGAACTGCAGCTAAAATATTATGTTCATTTTTCACATGGTCTTCTAGTCCTTCCTCTGCCCACCCCCCTAATATTATTAAGAGGGTCTCTTTTCCAGTCTTCAGACAGTAGCTGGAAGTGGGGAAGCAGAAAAAAGTCTTCCTTTCCTTCCACTCTGCAGTTTTAATCTGAAATCTTAAGCGCAGTACTGCGCCCAGAGCTCAAAAACTGCTCACGCTAATGAAATTCCCTGTTGTAAAATGTGCCTAGAACAATGGTAGTTTTGAACACTGTAGTACAGTGTAAAAATAAATGAAATTGTGGGCATAAAACCTGTTGCATTTGCCTATACCTGCTGCTCTTCAACTGGTCTCTGTAAATTTAATAATGTTAAGTCACCTTAAAAGTTGTAGATAATGCAAGATACACAGTTTTAACAACATAGTAATTTAATAATAATATGGGATTCCTCATTTCCAAGGCCAGCCATCAGAACTTTCTGGAAGATTCAAGATCTCTTGGAGTGTACCAAATTTTCTCCCTTCCAGAAAAGCTTTTTTGGGCTGACATTTTCATCAAGGCACCACCAGTTCAGACCACATAAGCAAACAATGTGTGCCACTTTACAATTGCTTACATTGAATTGCGTTTGCCATTTTAATGCCTGTTCCACTCCTTTACATAGTTCATTTGGGAGTGTTTCACAATCCCTTTTGTTCTTACCATCCTGAACAATTTGGTGTCATCAGCAAACTTGGCTAGCTCACTGCTCATCCCTCCAGGACACTTATGAACAGAAATACAATCTGCAGTATGGAAACGAGTGGGATCAGCTTCAAATTTCAATGTTGAATACAAGGCTCATGTGCTGCAGCAGTTTTAGAGTTTAGTGAATACTTCCAATAAAGGAAGTCATTTGATTGGCTTGTGAACATCTAAAAGTTCATTTCTGGGCACAATTAAAAGTGCTGGTTATGACTACCAAAGCCTTGCATGGCTTGAGGATAGGATCATATGAAGGACTATCTTCTCCAACACTGATTGGTTGAATTTATATCCCACTCTTTCTCCCAAAGGAGCTCACGGCTCCTAAACAAATCGGCTCCTGAACGATCAAAACCCAGAAGTTAGTGTTCCGGTTTTCTAACGATTTTCGGAAGCCGAACATCTGGTGCAGCCACACCTTAGTTTTTGAATGCACTCCTGTAACGCATTCTGTTCAAAAACCAAGGTACGACTGTACTGCTAAAGTCACTGTTCTCCAAAATAACTCATTTTCCTTTGATCTTCCTAATGGAACTGTGTTTTAATTTCACAAGCAAGACGCAAGTAAAACCCATTACAGTGGTACCTCGGGTTAAGTACTTAATTCGTTCCGGAGGTCCGTACTTAACCTGAAACTGTTCTTAACCTGAAGCACCACTTTCGCTAATGGGGCCTCCTGCTGCTGCTGCGCCGCTGGAGCACGATTTCTGTTCTCATCCTGAAGCAAAGTTCTTAACCTGAAGCACTATTTCTGGGTTAGCGGAGTCTGTAACCTGAAGCGTATGTAACCTGTAGCGTATGTAACCCAAGGTATCACTGTACTAAAACGTATTCGTAAATGATCTGGATAAACAGGTGGGAAATGGTACAGCCAACTATGCAGGTATCATCATTATTATTATTTATTGAATTCATATACAGTGGTACCTCTAGTTACGAACTTAATTCGTTCTGGAGGTCTGTTCTTAACCTGAAACTGTTCTTAACTAGAGGCGTGCTTTTGCTAATGGGGCCTCTTGCTGCCGCTACGCTGCCAGCACACGATTTCCGTTCTCATCCTGGGGCAAAGTTCTCAACTCGCAGTAACTCTTCAAGGTTAGCGGAGTTTGTAACCTGAACCATTTGTAACCTGAGGCGTTTGTAACTCAAGGTACCACTGTACCACCCTATACCCAGAGGCTTCAGCTAAAACTAAAGCATTCAAGATGATTAAATCCAGAGCAGGCTGCAACAGAACTCCAGAAGAATCTCTCCAAACTTGGTGACTGATCATCAGAATGACATGTGAAAATCAACATTAATGGATACTTTGAAGAAATGGGTCACTAAGGTTGGTTGTAGTCAATACAGAATATGCCTGCACAACTTAAGGCATGCTTCACTGAATATGGCCCATGAGCCACATATTGTGAATTAACAGGTGCTTGTCAGCTCCCCCTAATTTTTCAGACTCAAGACTTGCAACATATGGGGAGGGGGGACTTTTATCGGCACTACTGGTGGGCTGGTTCAGTTTAGTCAATCACAGGTAGGTTTGGCAGAGAATTATGTTGAAAATACAGCAAAACAGAATAGACCTAAAGTGAGGGCACTGTTCCAAAAGCCTCTTGCTGTGAAAGGAAAGGTACAATTGTTCTTATTCTGAAAAAAGGCTCATTTTTTGTCATCACCAGTGCTCTGTTGGAGGAAGGAAGACTCATCATTCTAGTTTCTTTTTTTATATTTCTAGTGAGCAAGACTGACTGAGAAGTATTTTTCTTGGAAGACAAGGCAGGGGAGTCCTCAAATAATTTATGAAACAGTCCTTGGTTTAAAATGGATCATCTAGAGATTACTTCACTCTCAGGTGAGTATTTATGATCCTTTAAGACCATGGCATGCTCAAAGAAATATGTCTTGGGTACAAAGCTTAGTATGGGATTACATGAAAGATATATGGTTTGATGGTGAAGATCAATTTAGAAAGCTGGAGCAAATTTTGCAACTGCAAACCAGGCTGGAATCAGAAGGCTTCAATTTGGGCTGAACAGACAAGAGAGAATCCTTTCACCCTCATTTTAAAAAGTTGTTAAAAACCTGTTTTCTCAATCTGCCTGATCCCTGATCACTTGAAATTAATTACTATTTTAGTGGAATTTATGTTGAAGGAAATATGTTTAAGAGAACAAGATTACTCTTGTACCTGGGTCAATCCTTTCCTCAAAACAAACCATATAGATGGATGCTAACTTTTACTGTGAATAAGTCACACAGGGCTGACAGACCTAACTAAGAAGCTTTGAAAGCTGAACACACTCAGTATCAGATTGAATACACAGCATTGTCTATTCAAAAATCATGGTCAACTGATGTTGGACATGGTAGAAGGCTTTTCTATTGGACTGGATTTAGATGGCTAGAGCTATGTCACTAAGCATGTGTTTTGAAGCATATATTTTGAATTCAAACAACTGATTTATTTGTAAACTGATGTTGCCTACCCTGAGTTCTTACAAAAGCACAAGTTTAAATACAGTAGTACTAAATCTTCTATTCACTTTACTTTGAAAAGTTATTACCCAATATATAAGATATTTCCCAAACTCAGTTGTCTATCAATTTTGGTTTCCTTTTTTTAAAAAAACCAAACACAACCCCATAGTATATCTGGCCCTTCCTTTTGAAATTGAAACCCACACCACTTTCAAGATGATCAGCAATCAAATAGCACATTACAACACGCCAGCAGAATGACATATATACATATACATTTACCATACAAATAACATAATTTACAAAAAGGTGAACAGAAAAGCAGAAAACCCAATTTTTACACACACACCCACTATTTCCCCAGGCTTATTTCAGGCCTTTATATCTCTGAACCTAACTGCCACATTTTTCACCCTGGGAATAACACCTGCAAAAACTCCAGAGCAAATGTAAGGTAAAGGTAAAGGTACCCCTGCCTGTACGGGCCAGTCGTGTCCGACTCTAGGGTTGTGCGCCCATCTCACTTAAGAGGCCAGGGCTGTCCGGAGACACTTCCGGGTCACGTGGCCAGCGTGACGAAGCTGCTCTGGTGAGCCAGCACCAGCGCAGCACACGGAAACGCCGTTTACCTTCCCGCTATAAAGCGGTACCTATTTATCTACTTGCACTTAGGGGTGCTTTCGAACTGCTAGGTGGGCAGGAGCTGGGACTGAAAGACGGGAGCTCACCCCGCCGCGGGGATTCGAACCGCTGACCATGCGATCGGCAACCCCTAGGCACTGAGGTTTTACCCACAGCGCCACCCATGTCCCGAGAGCAAATGTAGAGGTCCATGTTTTTCTGTAAGTGGCAATGTGGTTCTAAACAACTTGAATGACCAATAACATGTATTGAATTAGTCTGCAGACCATATCAAAAAAGAAAAGAAACATTTAAACTTCACATGAAAGCTTAAATCTCTAAAAGCTTATATGAAATTATATGTATTTGCTTTTACTAAAAAGTTAACATTAAAAATAAATTTAAAAATAGGGGAGATATAACTCAGAATGATACATTTAAGAATTAAAATCACCACCACAATTGTCTAAAATAGTTTCAAAATGCTTTTCTGAGACTGAAGGCCTTTACTGCAAAAAAGAAAAAATACCACCTTCCAAGTCATATACTGATTAGTTCTTTGAAATAGAAAATTTAGGTTTCCATCACTCTCCAGTATTTCATTTTCTTTAGTAAGGGCTTCAACTAGTTCGTTCTTTCTTTAATAGGATTTATATACTGTACAGCTTAATCATCTAACCCTCTGAACAGTTTACATAAAATAGACATTAAAATTTGCAATAAAATCACATGTTAAAAAGCTAACCTTGTAATTTTCAATAAATAAATAAAAGGAGTTTTAAAAATTACATTATAAAATAAAATTATATATTAAGAAACATGTCAAATTTACCTAACTTGATAGTATAGGCTTGCTTAAACAAAACAGTTTTTAGCAGGCACCTGCCTAATGTCCATGACAATAGGTGCTACCACACTGAAGGACTGATTCCTTGGAAATATGGAAAGAACATTATGTGGCACTTGCAAATCAAAGGAATTGAGTGGGCATATATAATGTAAGGTGATCCTTCAGCCCAGTAAGATGGGCAGGGTACAAATAAAATAAAAGTCATAGTAAATATTGTTATTATTGTTATTATCATTATTAAAGTACACTGGCTCCAAGCTTACATTACATTAAGCTAACATGAAAGAATATGGGTGATGGGTGCTGCCCACAGATGCATACTCTGTCACCAAATCTCTGATTGGTTCCATCTGTTCAGAACAGGATCGACTAAAAACTTTCCAGCATTCAATTTTCATGGGAAATGACAGGTATTGTTCATATTGATGCTGACATTTTGCACATGAAATACAATACTTGGAGAGTAAAGAGAAGCCAGGTCAATTTTTGCTCTTGCATTCGATACTCGAGGATGTTTCTGTTTTCATTTCCAAGTGAATTCAGTGCCTGCACTGATAATTCATACTGAAACCAGAAACCACCTAGAGCTAGTGCCATCTGTTTCACAAGGCAGATCTTGAGATTCCCCTAAGACAGGCATAAACTGAAAGAGCAACTGATTCTGTGAAGACATTCATTCTGTACAGAAGAAAGTGGCACTGACTGGCCCCACTACCAGCCTACTTTTGAAATCTCATCTGCACCGGTGCCTAGGCACATTCACCCTTATGGGTGTGGCCTCTATTTATAACATTACTCTACCCCCTGCCCACTCCTGGTAACCTTGCTTGCCTAGCTGAAAAACACGCTGCAACAAAGCCCAGCTTGCTGGGACGGAAACAAGGAAGATTTGGGCAGCTGTGGCTCTTTCCAAAGACTGGGCCCCTCAGTATTCAGTGTGGCAGGCCACCCTTTTCCGGACAACCCTGAAAAGATGATACTAAAGGTGATGGCAGCACCTCCTTTTTGAGTTTGTTGATCTGGTGCTTTTTCAAAGCTAGGGTCTTATGTAACAGTGGAGTGTTTATTACCTGTTTCTGGGGACAGTAGCAGAGAGAGAAGGAAGTTGTGATGCTTCACAGTGAGCACCTGCTGTTGTGGGATCTTGCCCGCTCCCCATAGGAGACAGGAGGGGAACAAGTATTATATGGCAAGTCTTTTTTTTCCTCCAGGCTCTGGTTATTATTAACACTCAGCTGATAAGTATTTTGTCTACTGACTAGTTAACTACAGTGGGAGAGAGTAGTGGTTTCTGGCCCAGGGTGAAAGCCTGTTGGTGTAACTTGTCCAGTCCCACACCCTGAGTGAGACAGGAGGGTTATACACACTTGGTGTGAGATAAGAGGTGCCTTGATTGCTGATTTTTCTGTTTCTTTGCCACAGGGTTAACTGGCATTCCTAACGCATATACAGTGTGATGTATGGGTGTATCTTGATTTTGCTTTTTTACATTGTTTTGATGATAGATTTATTATACTTTTAGTGTTTATTTTGTATTAATATGCTGTTCACCACTTTGCAGCCTTTGGGTCAAAAAGTGGTATAAATTAACCATAATTCTCTCTAGGTAAAGATGTGATCAGAACCCTATGCAAGTTGCCTTATGTACAGACAACTTGGAACACATGAGGAAATGTGTGAAAGTGGGGCCAGGCCACAATTCCAACCTTTTAATAAAGTCATTCATACATTTTTTAGTTAGCATTGTGTGTTAGTGCAGCCCTTTACTCTGTCAATATTAAGTGATGCATTATAAGACTTGGTGAAAAGTGTATCCCCTAAAGTCAAAATGTATACCAGATATGGCACCAAGGTAAGCACCTTTCTCCAAGTAAAGTGTAATTAAACTGGTAATTGAACTGTTCAGCTCATCTGGCATTTCAGTGTTCTAACACAGCACCAGTACTGTTGAGACAATTTATTATCCTACTGCTGAGACTCAAGAGACCATGTCTCATCTGTAAAAGCTGCTCCCATGCTACAGTTGAAGATTTATAACCTGACAATACCAAGTCTACCCATCCCTTGACTCAGCCTGGTTGGATACAAACTATTTGGAATTCTTTTACAGAGGCTCAGAGCTCTGAAATGAAAAGCCTTTTTGATGAAACATTGGGAAAAGAATAAAATCTAATTGGCCAAGGAGTACTTGGAGCTGTAACATTTTTCCAACTGCAAGCTAAAATGTCTGATTTAAAGAATTTGAGCTGTGACCCGAAGTATAAATACAATATTGAAAACCAGCAGTAGCAAGTCCAGTTCTGGTGTACAACCCAACTGTGCACATATCTTCAGTGAAAGCAACAATGCTTCAATGAGCTAGGTAACTGCTTGGATAATAAATAGTAGCAAGGGATTGCCTTTAAAGCCTGTGTTATTAAACACAGTAGACAGTCTGTTTTAGAAGTGCCTCAGTGATATGAGCTTTATTTATGAGCTCAATGTTTCCCAAAGATTGTAAGTTTAACCTATAGTAGCTGAACTTTAGTGCTAGCTGTATCTTTGACACAGGAGAGCAAACTTCTGCTATTTCTGCTATGGTCTGTCACAGCTACTATTTTTGGAAGGGAAAAAAAGAAGGGGAGAAATTTGAAGTCAAGCATTTGTGCCTGTGTACAAAGCTAATGAATTTTTAGTGTGGATAATAGCATGGCAAATAAACTATGGCTTACTGAGACCAAATAAAAAAGCAGTCTTGCACAGAATAATTTCCAACTTTGTTTTTCACTGTAACACCACACTGAGCTAAGCCAAGGTCATCTGAACTGGAACTCATGGTTAAGCTAACCATGAGCTGTAACCAAGGTGTGGTGACAACTCATGGTGAGGAGAGAGCAAAACCACTCATTCCAGTATGGATGACATGCTAAGCCAAACCTTGGTTTACTGCAGCAGTAAAAAAGACCAGGGAGGAGCTAAGTGGCAACATGCTCCTCTCCAGAAGCCCATACAGTCTTGGTAAACCATAGTTTGGCTTACAATATAATGCGAACCAGCTCAGGGTCAATGGAGCTCACATGAAATAATTAGGTTCTATAGTCTGGGGCTCTAAACTGAGACAGATAAGATTTTTAATGGCTTGTTTTTTAAAAGTTATATGTTTAGCGCTTTTCACTATTCCAAGGCCCCTTGTTTTCCACGTTTCTTACAGAAGAATAGCTACATGGTAACTCTTCTTCTCAGTACATAGGCAGAAAGATAGTCATCCAACTCAGACAACAGTATAGGTTACAGAAGGCAAGCAACCAGACAAAAAGAATCTATACAAACATTAACATGTAACAATGAAACAGTCCTGTCTTAATCTATATAGAAAGAACAAGCTCCTTAACAGACTTAAAGTTTAAATTAGAGCAACAATAGTAGTAGAGCTACTATGTACTCTGTTTATGAATAATCATAAGTAAGCTGATGCCCAGTTATATGAATCAGTGAAAATGAACCTTTCAGGACTGAAATACTAAGCACAAAGTAGAAAACCTTGTTAAACATACACGTATAGACCTAGTGATATTTGTAATAAAAGGTGGTGATTAAAACTTTGATATTTGCTTGCATCAGTGATTGCTTAAATTTTCTGAAGTTCCACACTTAAAGCACAGGAAATGTATATGAGGAAAGGGGAATTAAAATTGGGTAAACAGATAATAGCTAAACAAAGGTCATTTTCTGAAACAGAACGCCTGTGCTAAACATGGGAATTAGCTACAACTTTCAGCTAATTCTCTTTTAGTTTCAAATAATTTCCAGTTGAAGATTTGCCCTTCATAAGGAGATGATTCTGGATCACTTTCACCACTTTAAGTGGCTTGTGTCACCACTGAATTAACCATAATTAGTCCTTCTATTATAATATGTAATATCACATTGCAATTTGAACAGAGGACTTAAACACAAAATAAAGAAAAGTTTAAGTGAGTAGAAAGTGGGAAAGCCCATGAGGGGTCAGCTAGTCTTGAGTGTCGTCTACACATACGAATAATGAGGTAGCAGAATTACAAGGTGTAAAAGTTGACTCGCTTCAGATTCTGTTGGATGATACCAGGTTTTGTTAATGCTGCCATATGCAAATAGAAAGCTAGTCTGTTAGGGAGAAAAGTTCTAATCCAGCCTCCTTGCTGTTGTGCTAGTTTTCTATTTGTATAGAGGTTTAGGGTTTGTTTGTTTTTTGGTAAAGCTATTATGGTAATTTTAACCAAAGTTATTCACTTGCACAATCCTTCCTAGCACCTCATTCTGTCAATGTGTAGGCAGGACTTGAAACTATCTAGTGCTTGCCCTGTAGTAATGAATTTGAAAGATGGGACTATGTATTATGGCCACCAGCCATGTGTGTTGGCTGGTGGCCATAATATATAAGGAATCCTTATTCATAAAGTTGCTTACTCCTCACCATTAATAAATATGATGTACACTACTGAAGAGTAATAAATGGAGTCCTTAAGAGATTAGTATCTACTGCCACCTTGCTACTTCCTATGTTATCTAGGCAAGATGGAAATGCTGTAACACAATAATGGTCATTATGTCCAAAAAAGAGGCCGCTTACTAGATAATAATAATAATAATAATAATAATAATAATAATTTATTATTTATACCCCGCCCATCTGGCTGGGCCTCCCCAGCCACTCTGGGCGGCTTCCATAGAAACCAAGAATACAGTAAAATATCACACGTTAAAAACTTCCCTGAACAGGGCTGCCTTAAGATGTCTTCTGAATGTCAGGTAGTTGTTTATCGCTTTGACATCTGCTGGAAGGGCGTTCCACAGGGCGGGCGCAACTACCGAGAAGACCCTCTGCCTGGTTCCCTGTAGCTTTGCTTCTCGCAATGAGGGAACCGCCAGAAGGCCCTCGGCGCTGGACCTCAGCGTCCGGGCAGAACGATGGGGGTGGAGACGCTCCTTCAGGTATACTGGGCCGAGGCCGTTTAGGGCTTTAAAGGTCAACACCAGCACTTTGAATTGTGCTCGGAAACGTACTGGGAGCCAATGTAGGTCTTTCAAGACCGGTGTTATGTGGTCTTGGCGGCCGCCCCCAGTCACCAGTCTAGCTGCCGCATTCTGGATTAGTTGTAGTTTCCGAGTCACCTTCAAAGGTAGCCCCACGTAGAGTGCATTGCAGTAGTCTAGCGGGAGATAACCAGAGCATGCACCACTCTGGCGAGACAGTCCGCAGGCAGATAGGGTCTCAGCCTACGTACCAGATGGAGCTGGTAAACAGCTGCCCTGGACACAGATTTGACCTGTGCCTCCATGGACAGCTGGGAGTCCAAAATGACTCCCAGGCTGCGCACCTGGTCCTTCAGGGGCACAGTTACCCCACTCAGGACCAGGGAATCCTCCACACCTGCCTGCCTCCTGTCCCCCAAAAACAGTACTTCTGTCTTGTCAGGATTCAATCTCAATCTGTTAGCCGCCATCCATCCACCAACCGCCTCCAGACACTCACACAGGACCTTCACCGCCTTCACTGGTTCTGATTTAAAAGAGAGGTAGAGCTGGGTATCATCCGCATACTGATGAACACCCAGCCCAAACCTCCTGATGATCTCTCCCAGCTACTGCATGTAAATATTGAAAAGCATGGGAGAGAGGACAGAACCCTGAGGCACCCCACAAGTGAGAGCCCAGGGGTCTGAACACTCATCCCCCACCACCACTTTCTGAACACGGCCCAGGAGGAAGGAGCGGAACCACTGTATGACAGTGCCCCCAGCTCCCAGCCCCTCAAGACGGTCCAGAAGGATGTTATGGTCGATGGTATCAAACGCCGCTGAGAGATCCAGCAGAACTAGGAAGCAGCTCTCACCTTTGTCCCTAGCCCGCCGGAGATCATCAACCAGTGCAACCAAGGCAGTTTCAGTCCCATGATGAGGCCTGAATCCCGACTGGAAGGGATCCATGTTCTTCTATGTTCAAGAGACACTTTCAAACCCACTCTAAAAACAGGATGCTGGACTAAATGGGCTGCTGAACTGATCCTACAGGCTCTTCTTATGTTTATTCTACAGGTGGGCATCTCTTACTAAACCAGTAACACTGGTCCCACCATGGTTTAAAAATGAAGTATGTGAGAGACCAAGGTTGTTACTTCTGACTAAATCTACATGGTTTTAGCAAGGGAGTAAAGGGGGGGGGGAGAGAGAAGTAGTGGAAAGTTATTGCTGACAGTAAAGGAACTGGCAGCAATCACCAATATGTGTACTGAAAGAGGCCTGGTCCGCTGAAGCTACACACCAGGAGTCCCAACATGGCACACCAGGATGCAATTTACAGCTTATGTCTACAAATGAACTTATATAGAACCAAGTTTGTAATGTTTTATTGAAGTTCTGCGGGGAGGAAACAGCTGTTTATACAATCTCTGTACAACTTGTCTACAATTCTCTCTTCATACATCAAGACAGTTACTTTTCACTTACTGTTATGGTGCACAGTTATGCCAAAGCAAAAGCCCTGGAAACAGCAGAGCCAGGTTTGTGATTGTAAATAAAATATTAAGTATTATATAATGCACACCATACATATTCAGCAAGGCATCAAATCCATACAACCAATAAATTAAGGTGAAAGCAAGAGATCAGTTTTCAAAGATTCTCCAGCTTGTGGGGCAAGCTAGACATGACAGAAGCAGAATATGGGTTGCTGCCACATTCCTATAAAACAGGGATGCGGTTATTCAGTGATGCTGTTGAAAAGCATAGGAAAGTAAAAGGGGCTCCTTTAAAATAAATGTATCCCCAAAACATTTCCTCCCAATTACATTCCTGCCCATCAGAAGACAAACATCTCGGGAGGAGGTTCAGTGAGAAATAAAAGTAAACAATTCAGTATCTACTACCACTTATTCGTCTTCCCTTTATAAAATTCAGCAGAACATGACAGCTACATCCTGTCAGAACGCAACATATACTTAAGTCTCCAGGACACATATCAAAATTGAGCCCAACCTCCAGATGAAAACTCAAGTTATATGGAAAATGCTAGACATAGATTGGGACGACTGAAACACAATGGTAAGCCATTGCATGAGCTTTGGGCTTACGCACTACCTCCTTCCCTTGCCTCTCCCTCATAACCCTGCATAAGCTTCCAAATTGTAACCTGACTAATTATGCCAACATGACCAGCTATATTTGCCAATAAACCACAAATGGTTTTTTTGTTTTTGTTTTTGCTGCATGCAAGGGAAGGGAAAGGCAAGGATGGAACAAGCTTTATCTCTGAATATCCTTAAAGTGAAACAAGTTTTGGGGTTTATTTCAGGTATCACACACTTGAAGAGAAATGCTACTTTTAAGCAATTCTTTAAGTATTCCTTTATTCAAGAGTGGGGTGGGGATAATGGTTTCGAGAAATACTTTTACAGTGGTACCTCGGGTTACGTACTTAATTCGTTCCGGAGGTCCGTTCTTAACCTGAAACTGTTCTTAACCTGAAGCTCCAGTTTAGCTAATGGGGCCTCCTGCTGCCACCGCGCCGCCGGAGCCCGATTTCTGTTCTTATCCTGAAGCAAAGTTCTTAACCTGAAGCACTATTTCTGGGTTAGCGGCATGTGTAACCTGAAGCGCATGTAACCTGAAGCATATGTAACCCGAGGTACCACTGTAATTCATTTCATTCACTAGTAGAATTATTATTTGCCATAGCAATTTTCTTGCACTAGGAACAATTAACTAATTCTACGAAGTTTCAGACACTACGATCCTACATACAAGTTGTATCGTATGCAATTCCAACTGATTTTGACAGGGCATTAACTTGCACATGTGTTTCTACATCTTACAAGATAATTTATATTTCTGTTTTGCTGGTTTAAAAAAAGATCTGCAACTTTTCCTTGGAGAATCAAATAAGCAGTCAGTTTGCATAGTGATTTCCAGGCTCCTGAACAGAATCAGAACAACATTAGATGAACACACACATTGTACATATTAATTCAGGTAATAATACATTCAATTATTCTTTAGTTGCAGGACATTCTAACTTAGGCATTGTAATCAAGACTTTTAAGTAGTGATTTATGACTTAAACCGTGTACACATTTATTCATCCATTCACAAGAGACAGCTAAAATAATGAGAATAATTAGAGCTGCCAACCACAACTGTTGGTAAAAGACAAAAGTTGAGCACAAGCCAATGTAACTTTGAGTAGTGCAAACTGTAAGCTGTTTCTTATACCGTATAACTGAAACTCAAGGTGCCACTTGTGTTCTCCACACACATACTAGGACTTTTTACACTGGGACACTGGGGCTTCCCCATTTCCAACCCAGGCTCTTGCATCACCCAAAAACACATTCTTGATGGTCCAGGAACCCTCTGTTCCAGCAGTCAATTTAGTGCAAGCAAAAAGGAATCAGTATTTTGTAGGCATTGTTAATGTTGAGCATATATACCGTATTTTTCGCTCTATAACACGCACCCGACCATAACACGCACGTAGTTTTTAGAGGAGGAAAATCCGTAGGCATGCCACCCGTAGGCATTCCCTCCATAACACGCACAGACATTTCCCCTTACTTTCTAGGAGGAAAAAAGTGAGTGTTATGGTGCAAAAAATACGGTAATCTACTATTTTGCTATTGAGACTTAAAAGCAGAAATGCCCATATCATAGTTAAATATTATCATTACACCAATACCATCACTAAAGGATATTCTTAACAGCACTTACCAGCAACACTTGTAATGGTGACTGGAACTCCTTGCACTTGAACACCTGCAGCACCCAAGTTGGCTACACTTACTGTTTGAAGATTAGGCACTGAAGCAATCTGGGCAGCATTTAGCGTTATTGGTGTACCAGCAACAGCTACTGGTGCAATTTGAGCTATAGTACCACCACTTGAAGATACAGGGGTAATGGTTAGTTGCTGGGGCAATCCAGCATTTTGTACTTGAAGATTTGAAAGGCTTTGAAGATTTTGGACCTGTACTGTGTGCCAGCTGATCTGTCCTGATGGGGTTAAAGTTGGTGCTCTTATGAGAACTTGAGTTGGACTCACTGCTTGTAACTGAACATTTTGCAAAGGCTGCTGCTGAATTGTCTGAATAGTTTGTCCCGACTGGAGCTGAAAAGACTGTGGAGAAATAGCCTGAATGATCTGCTGCTGTGGCTGCTGGATCTGTATCTGCTGCAGAATAGGCTGACCTACTATTTGCACCTGCTGCAGTGAGTTTGTCTGATCCTGCACGTTTTGCAATCCATTAGACTGACTAGAGTTCTGAGTCTCTGTTTCTGATGTGGCTGTTTGAGGTTCTTCAGTACTAGACTCAGAACTTGTTGCTGTGTTTGCATACCGGCCTGTTTCTGCTGTACTTACTAAAGTTTCACTGCTTGTAAGCGAAGTGGAGGCAGTAGTTGTGCAAGTGGAAGAAGGAGAATCTGGCATAGTACTAACAGCAGCGGTTGTGACAGGTGTGGACAGTAGCTGATTTCCATTGGAAACTCCACTATCACTGGACTGTGTAACCTGTCCAGTACTACCGCTAGCAGCAACATTTATTACAGGTAATGCTAGAGTCACTCCCCCAATGTTTATAGGCAATGAAGTTACAACTTGTGCCTGAGTGCCGGCAATAGGCAGCTGCAATGGAATAGAAACACCAGGCCTAATCTGGACCGGCACTGTTTGATTTGCCAAGTTCTGAGCAATAATATTCCCAGAAGCTGTCCTATTTGTAGCTGTAAGAATAGCTTGATTATTTCCTGCAGGGATGAGCTGGATTTGACCCTGTAAATCTTGTAGAGTTGTAGTAGTAGCAGGATTGATCTGAATTTGTTGACCTTCTGTCGTTTGAATCTGTGGAATCACTTGATACTGAACAGTACCTCCTGGATTCTGTACTTGTATGACTTGAAACTGTCCTGGAGTTGCCGTAGAGGAATTGCTTGTCTTCGTCTTTGAAGGGGATGCATTTCCGTTGTTACTACTGGAGGGACTTGCTGCACTAGAAGCAACAGAAGGTGCCTGTTGGATGTTGTTCTCTTTTGAAGTAGGAGGAGCAGCAGCAGCCGCAACAAGCTGCCAAGCATTTCCAGCAAGCTGAGTCGTTACTAATTCTAACTGTTGTGGCTGATTTTGAAGTTGCACCAAACCTTGGCTTGGATCTATAATAAGCTGCTGTCCAGTTGCTTGATTCTCACCAGGAGTCCCTATTTTGCTGCAAGTTGCTGCCAGCAGAGCCAGAGGAGAAGGCTGAGAATCCTAACAGAGACATAGTGTATTAGGAGATAAATAGTACTTGCAAACTAAAAAGCAGTATCCTGAGTATTAAAGAATGCTAGAAAACATGACAACTGAACAAATGATGATGAATAGCTTATCCAGCCAAAGGTTTCATACCCCCCCACAAACATCTGGAGTAAATCCAAGAAAACTTGCCCCTTCCCCAAACATGTCTAGGCCATAAAGACTTGTACCCATCCTATAAGCCACAAGGCAGTATCCCTTGAAATGAACTGAAAGTAATTAAGCCTTGCTTCGCTTCCCTCTATGTTTTACCTGGGAGGCTCCAGTTTTGCTTTTCTTATTGTTGTTGTTTTCAGCCTCAGGAGATTTCTCTCCCTCTGAGGGCATAGCTTCCTCCTTCTTTTGATCTACCAAAAGACAAAACAAACACACAACCCATTAGACACAGCTGTTCACTTTGAATCTGCAACCAGGAGCAAATCTGTCAGGACATTCTCGCCAGCCCTCCATTCTTAACTCAGTCCCATATTATTATTACTGCAGAAAAGGGAGTCCTAAAAAATAAAAATAAAATAAAACGTGGTTTGGGAAACCCGGCCCACGGGGGGCTGGCGTGCGAACACCCAGAAAAAAAGGGGAGGCTTGATTGGTTTCTTGCTCTCGGAGACTGTAAGGCGGGCCGGGTGGGGGGTGGTGGTGGCGGCGGAAAACCACCCACAGCCCTCCTCCTCCTCCTGCCCCTAAAGCATCTACGGCTACTGAGTGGCCCAGGATGCTTTAGGGGCAGGAGGAGGGAGGCGCAAGGGAGGGGAAAATGGGAGGAAACAGAAACGAAGGAGGGATGGATGTGCACGGGGAGGGAGGGCCGGGAAGGAAAGGGGGGATGGAAGAAGGAGGGGCAGAGGGAGGGATAGACCGGGGGAGACAGAGGGACCCAGAGGGGACGGGGAAGCGGGAAGGCGCGCGGGGGCGTCGGCGGGGGAGGGAAGGGGCGGAGGGGGGCTACGTACCGCTCATCCCGCATTAACGCCCGCTGAGGCGCGGCTCGAGGAGGAGGAGGGGAGGGACGGAGGGCGGGGTGCTGGGGGTGTAGCGGCGGCGAGAAGGCCGGTCGCTGCCGGAGCTGGGAGGAGCAGGCCGGCCTATTTTTCCACGAATGGCCGCCGCTGGGCTGTGGCGTAGGTGCCCGTCTCTCCTCCCGCCGTCGCCGCCTGGCCTCAGCGCCAGCGCCTGATTGACAACTGGGAGCTGGAAGAGGGAGGGGGCGAGAGGAGAGAGAGGGCGCCGGGGGTGGAGGAGGAGGAGGGGCGGGGCCCGGCGAGGCCTAGGCTGACACCCACTGAGGAAGGAACCCAAAGCAGGCTTAAGCCTCTGAGAGAGCAGGGCGGCCGGCCTGGCGGAAAGGGAGGCGGGGAAAGGGGAGGAGCCAGGGCGGCGCGAGAGCCGCACGAGCCAGGCCCTCGCCTTGAAACAGGCCGGCCGGCCTATACAGAAGAGCTGGCGGCGGCGCGAGGAGGGAGTGGGTGGGCGTGGCTAGAGGGCGTATTGGGTGAGGAGAAGAAGCGGGGCTATTAACCGCCGTTGTGAGGTGGCGGGGGGATTTCTTGGTGGGGGGGGATTTGCGCGCGCGAAAGGGGAAAGGGAGGCGGGATCAAGGGCGGGGCGAAGCCGAAAGGCTTCTCTTCTCCATCCGCCCCTCTGCTAGCCGCTGCCGGCGCTCAAGGCCGCCGAAGACGTTGATTGACAAGTGCAGGAGAGCCAGGCGACGAATGAAAAGGGGAGGCGAGAGCCAACTCGTGCGCCTGTAACTGACAGCGCGGGAAGGATGCGCTGCCGCAGACGCGCCCGCCCGCTGTTGGCGCCAATCCTTCGGAAGGAAGGCCTCGCTCCTTAAACTGGTCGAGGCAGCCTTATTAGTTCTTCCTTTAGCTAACCTAGGCCGTTTATTTATTTACTGCCTTTGCTGGGCAGCGGGGAGACAGCTCTCCCCCCCTCGCAAGATACGAATTCAGAGGAGTTTTTTGGCGGGGGGGATAGGCGGGGCTTGAACCCTGGCTTGTGATTGGTTGTAGTGGAGCGCGCTGCATGTGGGGAAGTGTAGTGCTCGAGAGCCCGCGCGTGCGCAATGCTAGACAGGTGCTTTGCTGTAAATTGAACCTAGATTGGATTGAGGCTCCTTAATCTCTTGCTGTGAGCTGTCATTTCTCTGCTACACGTTGCGAGCGTGGGAGTTAACCTTGCTGTTTTTTTCTGAACTTTAGAAGGAAAGAAGAGTGCAGAATGAAGGTCATTTTGGCAGTTTTGTCTTTAGAAGCAGTTGGAAGCATCTGCAGCAGAAGTGGGATACCTGTGGCCTTCCAAAGGTTGCTGTAATACAACTCCTGTCATCCTTTCTGGCTGAGGCTAATAAAGAATTGGAGTCTTAACACCATCTGGAGAGTTGCAAGTTCCTTATCCCTGCTCTACAGGTTGAATTTCTGAACAACCAAAATCTAGAATATTCTTTCAGTTTGTTTATGGCAGGTGTGGCAAGGTCCAAACCCAGAAGACAGAAATATAAAGAAATTCAGATAAGAATTCCAACAAGGGTGTAGCAGGCACTCTGGTTTACATTTCTTCATGTTCATATACAGACTCTGGAACTGTTTCTTAGTTCAGGAGATGCCATGGTTCAGAAGGAAAGTACCCATTATGTGGTAGTTCCATGACTGGATCTCCTGGTGCTTTTTAAGCATGCAACTGTTTGTAGGAGGGGCTTTGCCACACACATAAACACAGCATAGTAGCAGGGAGAAGGAATCAAATAACAAATTTCAGGTCCCCTATCTGCAGGTTTATGAGAATGATAGTCTGTAATTTCCTTGCATCTTGGGGGTCTTCTTAGGCAGTAGCCGAATGTAACAACCTTCACTATCTTTGGGCTTCCAGGAAATTCAAGCCTCTGAGGTGAGATCTGGAGAACTTGTGGCTGCAAGCTCAGTTACTGTCCTGTTTTCATTGCCACATTTACCGCTTTGAGAGCTGTTGGAAAATGCCAACCCAGCACTATCCACTGATCTCATCTAGATGATCTGGTTAGCACCGTTTTATGCCCACCATCTTCCTGAGCTCTGCAGTGTGCTTAATTAGTCATAGAATCATAGAACTGTAGAGTTGAAAGGGACACGAGAAGTCGCGCAGTCCAACCCCCTGCAATGCAGGAATCACAGCCAAGGCATCTGTTACTATTAGATTTTAGTCACTTGTTTCACAGATGTCTCCAAGCAACTTAAAAACATATTTAAAAACATAACCCTAAGTACATTATAAAATTAACACATTCATTAAAAAAAGGCATACAAAACATAAAGATATACAAAACAACGCCACCCTCCCCCCCATAACAACCCCATGAAGCTTTGGCAGCATACTAACAGCACAAACCATCCTAAACCTGGTGCTGAAAATAAGTTAGCGAAGGCACCAGGCACACCTCACTGGGGAAAGATAGGGAGCAACAACTAAAAATACTCTCTCCCTTATAATCTTCCAAGGTTTCCTCAGAGATGAGATTGGGAGAATGCCATCAGATGAGGATCTCAGGATATGGTTAGATTTATATTGGAAGAGGTGTTTCAGAAGATCCTGAGCCATAAAGAGCTGTAAAGGTCAAAATCATAATTTTGAATTGGGCCCAGAATCATACAACCATATGATTCTAGCTGTAACAGAATTGGTGTTATGATATTGGTGTTCGCCTCAAATCTCTTAATAACTGGGCAGCTGCATTATGCACTAATTGAAGCTTCTGGACCATTTTCCTATATAAAGCTCATTGCGATAGGGCTATCTTGAGGTTGCCAGAGCATAGTTTGCTGCAACCAAATTATTCCTGTCCAGATATGGTCATATTTGGGCCACCAGCATAAGCTGTTGGAAGGCACTGGGCCTCAAGTAAGAGCAATGGATCCAGGCAAACCCATAAACTATGAGCCTGTTCCTTCTGAGACAGGCCTCACACCACTCAGCTGGTCAGAGGAACCACCCACTAACAGTATCTCAGTTTTGTCCAGATTAAGCTTAAATTTATCACCCTTCACCCAGTCCATTATTGCAACCAGGCACCAATTCAGTACATCCACTGCCTCACCTACAGAAAAGGAGGAGTAACAGCTGTGTGTTATCAGCATGGGTGGCCCTGTGGTCTAAACCACTGAGCCTCTTGGGCTTGCTGTTTGAGAGGTTGGCAGATCGAATCCGTGAGCTCCCGTTGCTCTGTCCCAGCTCCTGCCAACCTAGCAGTTTGAAAGCATGCCAGTGCAAGTAGATAAATAGGTACCACTGTGGTGGGAAGGTAAATGGCGTTTCCATGTGCTCTGACACTTGTCACAGTGTCCCGTTGTGCCAGAAGCGGTTTAATCTTGCTGGCCACACGACCTGGAAAGTTGTCTGTGGGCAAACGCCATCTCCCTTGGCCTGAAAGCGAGATGAACGCCGCACCCCTTAGTCGCCTTTGACTGGACTTAACCGTCCAGGGGTCCTTTACCTTTACCTATCAGCATACTGGTGACAACACACTCCACTCAGCAATTGCATGCAGATATTGAACAATATGGGGGACGAAAGAGACCTGGCTCCAGTGAAGGCCTCTTCTGGAATGGCCTTACTACTGCCTCCTTCAGGTGGCCTTGGACTACTACTTGAAGTGAAACGTAATTTGCACAAAGCCAGGGATGGCCAAACTACAACTCCCATAATCCCTAGGTAACAGGACCAGTGGTCAGGGATGGTGGGAATTGTAGTCCCAAATAAACTGGAGGGCCAAGTTTGGCCATCACTGTCCTAAGCCATTAGAAGAAACTAGCAAGGAAGATAGGTAGTTTTTTACTTTAATAGGAAATACCTTTCTGCCCAGGTATTTCTGCCCACCTTTAAAAGTGTGTGTAGATTCAATGTGAAGAGAAGGGGGCAGGTTCATGTCTACTGTCCCTTCATGACAACTTAAATCATGACCAAAATTCCTTTGATTAAAATCACACTTGGAGAGGAGGTTGCTTCCTGCTACTCTATACAGCAAAGTAGGCCAGGAGCATAGGCAGCTACTGCTGAATGTTCCAACATTCCTTAACGTAAAACCTTTTCTGAAGAATGATTGCTGCAGTTGCCACTTTTTCCTGGCAGGCGTCCTTTCCCATCAACAATTAGGAAATAGGCAGACTTCAACAGGTGATACTTTTCTCAGCATGGAGGTGCAGTTTGCAGGATTTTCTCCTGCCATGCAGCTGTTAAAGGCACAAGCATTTTGCCGAGACAAACCCATGGAGGATAAGATCCATGGCTACTAGTCATAATGGCTATATTTCTTCCGGTATCTGAGCCAGTATGCTGTCTTATAGGCAGAATTATTATGTTCATCTGCATTTCCATTGTGAGAACAACGCTGGACGTGGTAGGGCTGAGATAGGGCTCTTTCTTTGTCCTTAAGTGGGGGAAAGTGGGCACTTTATAGTGGGGTACTGCAAACTCTCAGATAAAGTATTTTGTAGCAAAAGAGATTTTTGTGATTCAGTTTCATGGGTAATTGGAACTTATGCTGAAATCCTATACAGTGGTACCTCTAGATACGAACGGAATCCGTTCCGGAGACCCGTTCGCATCTAGAGGTAAATGTAACTAGCAACGGCGCATCTGCGCACGAACGCGTCGCTTTTCGCCGCTTCTGTGCATGCGCGTGACGTCATTTTGAGCGTCTGCGCATGCACAAGCGACGAAACCCGGAAGTAACGCGCTCCGTTAGTTCCAGGTTGCCGAGGAGTGCAACTCGAACACGCTCAACTCGAAGCATATTTAACCCGAGGTATGACTGTACACATTTATTTGGGAATAAGTTCACTTGAAGACATGGTGATACTTCTGAGTAAAAACGTAAAGATAAAGGGACCCCTGACCATTAGGTCTAGTCGTGACCGACTCTGGGGTTGCGGCACTCATCTCACTTTATTGGCTGAGGGAGCCAGCGTACAGCTTCCGGGTCATGTGGCCAGCATGACTAAGCCACTTCTGGCGAACCAGAGCAGCGCACGGAAATGCCATTTACCTTCCCGCTGGAGCGGTACCTATTTATCTACTTGCACTTTGTCGTGCTTTTGAACTGCTAGGTTGGCAGGAGCAGGACCGAACAACAGGAGCTCACCCCGTTGCGGGGATTCAAACCGCCGACCTTCTGATCAGCAAGTCCTAGGCTCTGTGGTTTAACCCACAGCGCCACCTGCGTCCCTAATACTTCTGAGTAACCCTGCATAAAATCAGGCTCTACTTGCTAATTTTCCTTTGTGGGAACAGTTCCATAATCATCATCGTATGCCAACACCACACAGGTTTCCCCACATGCTTAAAGAGCTGCAGCGTGGTGCTGAAATGAGCTGTCCGAATAATAAAGAAATACACATTGAAGCTACAATCCTATGCAGAGTGTAGGCATGTTTGATGCATTTGTTTCAGTGGGCATAGGAGTGCTTAACTGCATAGGACCAGCCTGCCTGAAAAAGTACCTAGGATTGGTGTGCAGTACAACCTTTTAAAACCAAGATTCTGTTCATATATAATTAAGGCTTAGTACAGCTTTAATTGGGACGCGGGTGGCGCTGTGGGTAAAAGCCTCAGCGCCTAGGGCTTGCCGATCGAAAGGTCGGCGGTTCGAATCCCCGCAGCGGGGTGCGCTCCCGTTGCTCGGTCCCAGCGCCTGCCAACCTAGCAGTTCGAAAGCACCCCTGGGTGCAAGTAGATAAATAGGGACCGCTTACTGGCGGGAAGGTAAACGGCGTTTCCGTGCGCTGCGCTGGCTCGCCAGATGCGGCTTTGTCACGCTGGCCACGTGACCCGGAAGTGTCTCCGGACAGCGCTGGCCCCCGGCCTATAGAGTGAGATGAGCGCACAACCCTAGAGTCTGTCAAGACTGGCCCGTACGGGCAGGGGTACCTTTACCTTTACAGCTTTAATTGCCACATGAAAGCACTAGCTTAGTGGCCAAAGGCCCCAAGGAATTGCATGCAGGTAACTGCACCCAATTGTAGAAATACACACAATCATGGAAGTGCTGCTGCAGGAACTCTGTTCTACTTCTCCAAGCCACCCATATTTTTTTTTGCAGGCTAGTAACTTTAATGGGCTTATTTACAAGGCTGACCTATACTTTGCAGTATTCGCACGCTGCTAGAGATGGGCATTATCCAACTAAATCGATCCACTAACTATCATAACGACATGCACTTGTGCAACAGAACTTCCCCTCGCTCTCCTCTCCCTGTGCCCTCCACACAGATCCCAGATCTGCTCTGCAGGAATGGGGGAAAACTCAAAACAGATTTAAGGAGATACAGGAATGTGTGGGGAGAGAAGAGGAAGAGCTTTTCCCTGGCATAGCCAAAAGCATTTCCTGAGGATCTGTTTAGTTAGATACTGCCCAGTGGACAGTGGTGGGGTGGTTTTTTTGACATTGATTAGAATGTTTTGGAACATGGATACATCTCTAGGGCTGTAAGCAGTGTTAACCATGGTGTACTTCCATGA